TAAAAACTAATTTGAAATGTTTTGAATTTTGAAGTTCACCTTGCTATTGTTTGGTAAAGCACTAGATATACAATAATAAATGCTATTCCAATTTGCTTTTTTTACTCTTAGAATTTCAATTATTAAAAATAGAAGTAATAATAAATAACAGAATTATTCCTTTGGAATGTCAAAGAACTAATAAAGGTTGTGCCATTTAACCTTTTCTGGTGGAACTCTGGATGAAGTCTATCAAGGAAAGAAACTCAAATCAAGAAGAATCCGTAGCTGTAAAACAACAAAAATGGTGGAAAAGCTTCCATGGATTTATTTTGAGTTATTTCTTAATCAGGTTTAAGCTAGCAACTGCTTTTTCAGTTGGATATTATTCACAGGAATTCGTTTATATATATAATACACAAAGAGATTGATGGAGAGAGAGTATCATGGGGGTATTTTTTTTGTTTTTGCTTTTATGATATTTTCTATCTTATTGTATTAAAAAATTGGGGGCATAAGTGACATTTCATATTATTTTAAACTCAATTTCTGACATGGAAAATACTAATAATAATAATAAAATTTATAAAGAAATATAACTAGAGAAAAAAATATAAATATAATTGTTTCCATCAGGTTTATAGGGTCACTATAATTGTTTCAGTTTGCATCAGGTTTATAGGGTCAATATATATATATATATATAATAATATATATATATATATATATATATATATATTATTATTAATATATAAAGCATCAAATTGTCATAATACTACTATGTTTTATTTTCCTGTCTTCTAATTAGCAGTAAGACAAATGGCTTGTTTCATTGAATTATTATTAAAAAAATATTTTCCTCGGGACATGTAAAATAACTTGTCTAAAATTAAAGGATAAATTATCTTTGTTAAATTATAATATTTTTTTTTCGTAAAAATTATACGGCAACCAAATACCAAAAAATATAAAATATTTTTACTTTTTTAATATTTGACAAAGGTTTACGTCAAGGTTTAAATTAAGTTCATTGGACAGGACATGTAAAATAACTTGTCTAAAATTGAAGGATAAATTATTTTTGTTAAATTTTAATATTTTTTTTTTGTAAAAATTTTACGGCAACCAAATACTAAAATTTTTTTATATTTTTTTACATCCAAATAAACGGAGTCTAAATCAAATTCGTTCAAATAGCCTCATAAATGCTAAGTAGTACTACATCAATCCAAAATTTGAATGCAATTTCCACGTAAATGTTTTAAATCATTGGATTGAATGTTATATTCTAATGTTGTATCAGAGGCTTGGGAGCCCTTTAATAGTATCCGGCTACACTACTTTTTCAGGAGGTTTTTGAACTTCTGGAAATGTGGTAGAGAACAAAGTTAAACCAGTCTTTTACGGTTTGTATTTAACTGAATATGCATTAACACGGTCTAAAAAATAATTCTAGGCTCCGTTTATGTAAAATACTTTTTTAAAAAAAAATATATTTTTATTTTTTGGTGTTTAGTTGTTGTAAAATACTTACAAAAAAAATAAACATTAAAATCTAATAAAAATAATTAATCATCAATTTTCGATAAGTTATTTTACATGTTCTGCCCGATGGACTCGACCTCAACTTCGACGTAGATCTTTACCAACAATTAAAAAAATAAAAAATAAAAAATATTTTACCAAGATGTCTGATCGGTAGTGTTCCAATCTCAAGGTATCTGATTGGTGTTAAACTTAAACATACTTGCCAAGAACAGAAAAATATAATGAAAAATGATATAAATCACAAATTCTTTTTTGTGATTTTTATCATGTATAATACAGCAAAGATAAAGTTTTTGTATCAAATGCAAGGTAGTTACGTCACGAATTCTTTTTAGTGATTTTTATCATGTATAACATGGCAAAGATGTAGTAGTCTTTGTATTGAAGGCAAGGAAGTTGAATTAAAGGCCCTTTGGTAACGCACAACTTGGAGAAAAACTTTATTGCTTCCGTTGCACCATGCAACAGGCGCATTCAATCGTTCATACACGGCATGTGTAATACATGCAGGAACATATTTATTATATGAACCGTCTGGATATACCCGTTACACGGTGCAACGGGCGCAGTAAAATTTTTCTCCACAACTTGACTTTGTAATTACCCATTAGTATATCGGAATAGGTTTAACCTTTAATAGAGGAACTAAAGCCTCAATTTGATACAAGGTGGCTTCAAGTAAAGAAGCATCAAAGAGAGCTAAAGCTTGTTGACCGCAACATGTAGAAAGAGCTTCTAAAGATGGTGGTGTAATCTTTTGGGTGCATAGAATGTTTGGTGGGACTGTTTGGTTTTATACCCTTTTTGGTAATCTCACTTTCATCTTTATAAAGGGAGGATGCAACGGTCAGTTTGGTTGCAGAGAAATGATTGTAGAATGAAATAAAACCTGAGTGGACTTAGTTTGATTGGAGAAATAAAATCAATGAGAATTGATGATCATTCCGTTTTCTTATTTGGTTACAAAATAGAACAATTCTTTCGTTTCTTCTCTCTACCATTGTTTTCAAACAAATTTTAAGATTAAAGGGAAAGAAAGACACTGTGAGGTCGCCTAATTTCCAGGTATTGGATTATATCTTATATATATTTATCTATCCTAAATTCAATATCTATTTGTCTTGTGCAGGTATTATTGGCCTGCAAGGCTGAGCACCATCGAGTGATCTTCATGTGAATAAATGGCATGTAACATGTTCTACATCATGTCATGGTTAAAGACCAAAACAAAGAAAAAGTCAAATAAATAAAAGTGAATAAACTATTTTGAATAATGGAAAAAACCTGTGTTTTGGTTAAATCGTTTTTGGGATTATGGTGGTGTGATGTGTCTGTTACTTGATGATATTTATTATGCAAATTCGTTAAGGTTGATATATGATTTTCGTAAAACAAATTCATCTAGTTTTTGAAAATTTAATATTTATTCCGTGTGTGGAGGATATTTCATTGTCACACCTCAAAAGTGTCATTATCAAGCTGCATTTGCAAACACAAGCCCATGCATAAAAGTTCACCAAAAGAAAGACCGATTTAACACTAGCACAATACATAACTTTTATGTCAACAATTCTATTAAAAAAAGAATGCAATAAAAAATGATAACAACAAAGGACAAAAACAATCGCAAAGAAAGTAATTTTTGGTAGAAAAATATTATTTTAAAAAATAATAATAATACAAGTAGAACTAATAGAGTGATATCTAAATTAGGAGAAACATGTTCCAACGAACAAAAACCTACAAAAAAGAAGCAAGAAATTTGTAGAAGCGGGTTAGACCAGGTTGTTATTTCTTTTAGCCTAATAGTAGCCCAAAGGTTGATTACTTTGTTGCTCTTTCATTACTAGTTTATAATTAATATGTACTTGATTATAGTGTTGTGCATTTATATATATATATATTCAGTATGTTTGTAGTCCAAATTCTCAAATTTATCTCCAATACTTCTATTTTCTTTGTAATTCTGGTATTATGTTTAATGGGTTTTAAAAATTCTCTCTCCTGATGACTATATACATATACATATACATGTATACTGGTGGGAGAAGGGAGAGAGAGAGATGAATTCAATTTTTTGATATTTTGATCATTTAAAATGAATCTTAGGGGTAGTTAAGTCATTTTATATATGAAATAACTTTTTGGCAAGTCAAATACAAAGTCAAATAATTAGAAATGCCATTTTATATGTGAAAATTGATCTGTTTGTGATGTGAGTGATAATTATTTTCGAAAAGTGCCTCTATGTGAGATTTAGCTAAACCTCAAGAGATATTACTGAAATTATACCTTCATTTTAAAAAGCTAGAATGATCATTCATCTTCTTAAGATGTGGGATGCCCTTTCCATTCTCACCCACCCTCACTAATAATTAAAAATAAATAACAATCAAAGATGAAAAAATCGATTGTCTTTGTTTAAGATCATGCACGCATCCTCACTATCACTGTTAGACCTCTCTCTCTCTCTCCCCCTGCAATGATCATAAGCCAATATGGATGCTTAAGAATACAAGGTTGAAACTTGGAATCGGAAAACACGGGACAAGCTAGCCAAAGGATGCTTAAGAATACAAGGTTGGAATTGGCAATTTGGGACTAGTTTACTAAGGGCATCCATTGCTTAATTATTAAAGTTTTTGATCTCTGGAGACTTTGATCTCTTGCTTCTCCAAAGTAAAACCATGCACCACACAAACGTATATAAAGATTTACGTGATTTGACTTATAACTTGTGTTTAGGTGAGGGGAAGAAAATCAAAGATTACAACTTTTGCAACTCCAATCAAAAGAACAATGGTGAAACCCTCCAAAACAATGTGCGATGATGAACGTTGATGCATGGTGGCAGGGATGGAGTCAAGAAATTGTGTGAGAGGGGGTGATAGTGTAATTTTTTAGTAATTTTAGTAGGGACAGTTGTGTAATTTTATAAGTACATATACCAAAATAAATAAAATAGTAGGATATATTACTAAAAGTAAAATTGCCCCACTGACTTGTTCAAAGATCCGTCCATGGTGGTAGTGATGGTGGTGAAGGTCTGAAAAGAATGATTAAGATGATACAGACCTTATATATCTAATAAATTGATTGACATATGGATCTCCACCTCGGTTTTTATAAGAGGGATGGATTACGCGTTTCAGTCAAATTTTATACATATATATTTTTATTTTGATCAAATTTAATAAAATTGAAAGTTCAACATTGATTACCTCGTATGATTATAACTTTATTTTTTTTTTACATTCTATTATGCCATGATAAAATAATAATAGTAACAACAAACAATGAGTTTTTCACAGATAAAATTTTATTAATGCGAGTTCTTGAAAATAGCCAAATAGCATGGATGGTGGAGAAAAAATGGAGAAGAGAGAAGATAGGAAAAAAGATATACAAAAATGCAGTCTCCCCAGACGCAGAATAGGCGAGGCAGGAGATAAACAGAGAAGAAACTATGTCAACTAAAAGCATGCCAAATATGAGATAGCAATCTCTTCTGTTACACCAATGCGGAAACTTGGGCAGCTGTCTTCCACACTAGTAGCAACAAGCAGTCCGACACCTGCGTAAATCAAAGAATCACTCACTTCTACCCAATATATATATATATATCATTAACAGATGCATGTATATATATATATATATTGAGAGACAGTGTGCATGTGTGAGCTAACCTGTAGTGCACAACTGAACAACCTTCATATAATTCAACACAATGTTTGCACGTGGGACATCTCTTCCACTCATTCCTCTTTTCAAGCACCTCAAATTCCAAATCAACAATACTAGCACCCTGATGATCTTCACATCCATAGCCTGGATGCCATGGTTGCTTGCACCGGAAGCAAAACAGCCTCTTGCAACGGGGACACTTGGATCTCCTCACATCCCCTCCACACTCGTTCACAATCGAAGCCGAGCAATCCCGGTAGGGACAGTAACATGTATCCAACCTTAGAACAGTTGAGTCACATAGCACATCGCACCACTTGTCGTACAATTGAGCCGGAATGATTTGAGTGCATGAAAGAGGATCCAACATCTGACCACAGAAGAGTGAAGGACATTTAATCTTGGCGGGATTGCGTTCTTCAATGTTCACTTTGATATACTTGGCTATGCAATCGGTACAGATTGAGTGAACACATCTCTTATTATATATTTTCATATATTGTATTAGGGACGGTCAGACCGTCCCTAATAGTCAGGACCGTCCCTAATACATTATTTTAATTATATATTTTAATATATTATTGTATTAGGGACGGTCAGACCGTCCCTAATACATTATTTTAATTATATATTTTAATATATTATTGTATTAGGGACGGTCAGACCGTCCCTAATACATTAATTTAATTATATATTTTAATATATTATTGTATTAGGGACGGTTAGGACCGTCCCTAATACATTATTTTAATTATATATTTTAATATATTATTGTATTAGGGACGGTCATGACCGTCCCTAATACATTATTTTTAATTATATATGACCGTCCCTAATACATTAATTTAATTATATATTTTAATATATTATTGTATTAGGGACGGTCAGGACCGTCTCTAATACATTATTTTAATTATATATTTTAATATATTATTGACCGTTCCTAATACATTATTTTTAATTATATATTTTCATATATTGTATTAGGGACGGTCAGACTGTCCCTAATACATTAATTTAATTATATATTTTAATATATTATTGTATTAGGGACGGTCAGGACCGTCCCTAATACATTATTTTAATAATATATTTTAATATATTAATGTATTAGGGACGGTCTGACCGTCCCTAATACATTATTTTTAATTATAATTATTATATTAAACCATCTATATGTATATATATATATTGTATGCTTAATTTGTGAATTTAACCATTGCGGATACATACATACAAAACATATACAAAATAGATCCACAATAACATTCAAAAAAATATTACTATCCATAGAATAAAATCAATCCACAATATATATATTCAAGATCCATAAAATATAAAATCTCTAGTTTTCTAAACAAAAACTAAAACCATGTGGTAGCACAAAAAATTGTTCCATCCTCTTCAAGATCCATTATTCATTCTGTTGGTGGTTGTGGTGGTGCTTGCTGGTGAGACCATGTTGGTGGCGGCAGCTGATATTGCCATCTTGTTGTTGGTGGCGGCTGCTGAAAATACGAGTCTGCTGCTGCTGATATTGGAGGAACCATGGTGGCGGCTGTTGTTGGTACTGCTCAAACATCTTCTCAAGTTTTTCCATTTTTTCCGCCATTTGTACACTTCTTTCTTCAGCAATTTCGGTCCTTTTCCTAGAAGCCTCATCATATGATGAAGAGGCACGCTGATGCTTTGGAGCCACGAAACCATGTCCGAATCCACGGCAATATCCCTTCCTTATGCCTAGTTGGTTTTGTACTATCTCAACATCATTTATGGATAGACTCGTACCATCAGAATTTTGAGAATTTTGTGCAGCCTTTTCTTTCATTGCATCCTGCAAAATATTTAAGTTCGCTATCAAATTAAAAAAATATGGCATAGGAATAAATCAAGTAACAACAGAAAATGTAATCACACATGCACCAACACATAAAAATAGAGAGATTAAAGTGATTCGGTTTATAACATGCGCGCATACAGTAAACAATGGCATTTCTTGTATGCCATTTCTTATATGACATGCTGTTTCTCAACAAATAGAAAAAAAATTTGTACATTTAAATAAATTTAAGGCTCACTACTGTCTAAATTATTGTTAGAAACTTTGTGGGTAGTTGGTGCACCAGAAAAATATTAGCAAACAAACCATGGGTTTGACAGAGCTAATTTTTTCACAAAAACTCTCCATTATCATTATAATGTGGTCTGATACGAGTTTAACACACAAAAAGTATCCATCACTGCAAAATGGCTGATCAAATCATTTAGGTTCTGGTAGTTTAATAGATTAGAATGGAACCAAAACGCAAGGCACTTTCTGTAACTTGCAACTCTAAGGCACTTTCTCAAACATGGTAAATGGCTGCCCATGTTGTCCCCGTTGCAAGTTGTGCAATTCCATCACCCACATAGCCAAATTTGATATGAAAAAGGAATGATGCATTTTGACATTTAGTAGAAACCAACTATCTCTCCAAAATCCTAATGGTGGGCTCTGGGGCCACAGTGAAGTTCCAATTTTGTTTTTCCAATCTTTTTGTGCTCTGGAGTTGTTTGGTAAAATAAAAGAATAAGCGTAATGTTTTATATTAGCATAACCAAAAAAAAAAAAAGAAAAAAAAAGAAGGTATTTGAATGAGTGCATTTGGGAGTCCATGTATTGACCTTATAAATCTGAAAAAGATGAACATCAACCTATATATATTTTTCTAATAAGCTAAAAAAAGCTTTTAGCTCGTCATATGAATATATATATAAAAGCTAAAAAAAGCTTTTAGCTCGTCATATATATATATATATATATATATATATATATATATATATATATATATAAATACGTTAATTGAATAATAAACTTAGAATCTCCTATCACTATTAATGATAATAAAGTCAATCGTGCAAACACAATATGGTTGGAGACATACGACCTATAAGCTCCAAGAGTCACCAAAATAAATGAGTCGACTTCAAGATCTTCATGTCAACTTGATTTTAGAAGCTAAACCCATCAACCTAATTATGATAAGGTTGGTTTAGGAAAGACAGACCCAATGACTTATGGATTGAATTGAACTTAAGTTTTCCACTCTTTCTATCAAGGTCCCAAGGTTTGATCGAGCAGTTTTGCCCCAACATGAATTCAGTTTGACCTTTAGTAGAAACATTGATTCATATAAATGAAATGATTATATCTACTGCAAAAAAGCCACTCTGCGTGTCTGAAATGACAACTTGACATGAATGGAATCCATTTATTGAGCTGCCCAAATTTTAAGTTGATGTGTAATGTGAATAACATATAATAGAGTCCACAACTTCCGATTCCGAGTGCAGAGACGCAGATCAAAGAGGAGCAAGGAATTAACCCCGTGAGTCTCTCATCTCTCTCTAAAATGTGTATGTGTGCGTATGTATATAATTTTCTGATAGATGCAATTCCAAAAAGTGTATGTGTGTGTATATATATAATTTCACATAGATATATAGGTTAAAATGTCATAATAGTTGAGGTTACAGACTCACAGAGTAGTTGAAACCGCAGAGCAAATTAATCAAGAATATATTTTGTGTGCCACTTCTCAGAATATGCAAGACCAGTGATGTATATATAAACTCACATATGCGCATAAATAGAAGAAATTTTGATAGTTGAGATTATTGAGTGCAGATGAATCTACAGAGCAAATTAATCAATTTAAAGTTTTTATAATCTCAATTTTGTAGTCCGAAGAAAAGGAAAAGAAAGAAGAAGGTAATTAACCTGATACAGGGCTAGAGCAAGTTGTAGATTGTCTTTTCTGTAGTGCTTGGAATGAGAATGAAATCCCATTTGTAGGAGTGACATGTCTAGAAATAGTTGAAGCTATTGCTAATGAGATAGGAGCGAATAGACTGGGAATAAGGCTCTCTCCCTTTGCAGATTTTATGGAATCTGGAGACTCAAATCCAGAGGCTCTTGGCCTCTATATGGCTGAATCATTGAATAAATATGGCATTCTCTACTGTCACATGGTTGAGCCTAGGGTGAAAACTAGAGGAGAAATATGTGATCTAAATTCAGCTCCTCCCTCTCTGTCATCTAAATTCAGCTCTCAAAAAGAAGAGAAACCAGCCAGGAACACCAAGCAATGCCAATCTTTATGAATTTAGGGGTCCTACAAAGGAGATTTGATATCTCATAAAATGTAGTTAATTTAGATTTGAAGATCTAAAACAATGTCTGGAAAATATTTGATGATCTAATAATGTCATAGGTAGACATATTGATGTAATAGGTAAATATTGATTCTCTACTATCCCAAAACTAAGCTATTAAACTTATAACAATAAATTAGATTTTGATTTCTTGTCTATTTAATTCAAGAAATTAACTAATAAAATATAACATGACGCTCCAAGAGTATCTAGGACAGCTTCTACTAAAGTTGTGTGTGTGTGTGAGAGAGAGAGAGAACAAATACAGCTCAGGATATAGTGGGATGACAACAGGATCTGCAGCTGACCCCATCTAAATAGAGGAATATGCTTTATATATAAGATAACCTTCCTACAAGAGCTGATCGATAAAGTAGCTTGAAGCCTTCATATAACATAATTAAACTAACTAAAAGGAAGAGAACAAAAAAGGGAACAACAATACTTACAAAAAAAAAAGAGGTCACATTCATCTTTTCTTTAACACTCCTACAAATGGGATTTTATGTTTTTGGTGGATTTTCAAAGTTACAACCACCCAAACATAATAAAAGAGTACGGATAATTATATATTATATATATGTGCAACCCCACATAAAGCTTATGACATTAAAGTGCTTGCTTCATGGAAAATCACTTCTCACTTTCTCTACATATATATTTAGATAATCATAAAACATAAAAGTGTGTATATATATATATATGTAACAACCACACATAAACCTTATGCATAAAAGGGCTGCTTCATGGAAAATCACCTCACTTTCTCCACACCCCCATACACAAACAGACAGACAGACAGATATATTCATATATATATATAAATGGGTCACTACTTGTTAGAGCAAAGTGAGGCTTCCATTTACAAGCTATTCTATTCTCTCTCTTCTCTCTCCTGCTGGGTAGCAGACTAATCAGTTCTCTAGATACAAGCTATTCCATTCTCTCTCTTCTCTCTCCTGCTATAGGTATAATTTTCAGTCACAACCAAGATTGACGAAACCCTAATTAAAATTAATGTTTACTCTAAACAAGTTTTAATTCAAGAAACCCCAATTAATGGACTGATTCATTAATTTTCATGATACATCCAAAGATCTCATGTATGTATTTAGTAGAAGTGGAAATTTTAAAGAATGTGAGTCAAGACAGAGATGGTGAGGGGTTTCTAGACTTGAAGTATCTTGGAGTTATGGAATGTAAGGGGATAACATTTATTTGGCATGAGTTGTTATTAAATCTCCAGATTTCTACCCTAGATATAAGACACATATTTGAACTATGCAAAACAGATAAATTACAAATCCAACACAATCAATCAATGTGGACAATATTATGAGATCCAAATTTCATAATCTAACATGCTAGCTTATAGTTAACTTACAAAATTCCTCTTAGCTTTCTCGTGTGCCCATCCACCTTGTTCCTTAAAATGTGTGTCCTTATACAAACGAATAGCAGGATCCTCTTCCCTTTCACCGTCCTCATCTTCTTGGCTCTGCCTTTCTTTGAGTTTGACCTATAGTACAAAGTAATAGTGACTATTAGACAAATATATGGTTTAGAACGTAGAATATAAAATAAAAAATTTATAATTATTGTTACGCAAATAATCATCGTAACGTCTGACGAAGGACATTGATCCAGAATAATGTGGAACCTCATTCTTGGAACGATTTTCTTTGTTTTTTGCCCTTATTTCCTAAGTAGTAATTCAAACAATATTACAAGTTAGGAAACCTAAATAACTAGTGAATGAAGTTATTATATTAAATAGTAAAAACAAGTAGTTAAGAAATTGAACCTGAAATTTAGGTGACATCCACGTATCACACAATTTTTCCCAAACAGCATTACCAATACCATTGTAAGGATGGCGGTGTGCATTCTCAATCGGAAAATGCTCTTCAAAATGACACTTCAATTTATATCTATATTTCCTCAACGCGCTGGAAATTCCCATATTTACTCGCTTAAAATCAATGTCATTTGCGTATGCATCCACTCCAAAGACCTCCTTTATAATGTAAAATTAAAGTAAGCTATAATTTGTAACCAATTGGACCAGTAATCTCTGATTTTTTTTAACAAAACAAGCATTAAATGATGGTTATCATTACCTTCAAATGGTCATAGCAGACCTCTTTCTCAAAATCTGGAACATCCCTCCACGTTTTATACTTTAGAAGGGCTTCGGTATCTCGTGTATTAATGCCAACCTCAGCCGTACATAATTTGTTATTTAAACCAACAGGTTTAATATAACTTTTTCTAAACTCAACTGGAACTGGCCAATTGTTTTCATTAATTTTGTGCAAGGCTTCATTTTTTGCTCTTCCACGCCCTTTTCGTATCGGACCTGAAAAACAAATTTATCATCTTAATTAAAGCGTAGGCATTTTACAAAAGAACTTATGGTTAATCAATGATGAAGCATAATTACCTCCACTTTGTTGTGGCCCTATCTGCTCAATACTACCATCACCTTCCATTCTTTCATTTGTTGAATTCCTATCTTCACCTAATCCACTTGGTTGTGTAGGAGGTGAACTTGTAGATGGTCGCTCAGTTTCAGCCCTGCGGGACCTTAAAACTTTACGCATCGATTCCTCGGAGGTGTCCATAATTTAGTTTGCAAGCTAATATGAAGAATCAAGTGAAATTAAATCAAAATAAACAAACATATGCAAAATATATTCTGAGTCATCATTTCATATTTACATAATTCCATTGAATAAAAAATTCAATAATTAGAGGCAATATAACTGAATAGATCACATTAAATATAATCATAAACCCAAAAAAAAAAGTAAATGCTCAAATATAACAATTAATTTAGTTAACCAAATCAAAGCTGCAAATTAATGAAGCACAGAAACAATACTTAAAGAGAAATTTAAACAAAAAGTAACTCAAAAGATAAAGCTCGGTAATATAATTCAGCTGGTCACTTAAAGTATTAATCATAAAACAATAAAATGAGGTACATGCTCAAGAATAAAAAGCTTCACATGTCATCCAAATCAGTATCATCTTCAAACATTAATTCTGGTTCCTCATCTGAACTATATTGAATGTCAAGAGTTTCATCATTCTCAACATCCCAAAAGTCATCATTAATGGCTGCTTCACCCCTACATTTTTGAATCATTTCAGCATCAAGAGTTTCACCCTCCAAATCGTCCCTGTTCAAAGGGAATGGATCCATGTCCAAGTCCGCTTCAACAATTCCATCCACGATGCTTGGTTCGCTCTCTTGGTATGCTGTAGTGTTGAGCACTTCATCATGTACTCTTGTTTCACCCTCTTTTTCAGGTACATCAAACGAGCTTCTACTTGTTATATCTTGAACTACCTCCCACGTCCCTTGTAATTTGTTGTCTTTGACATAGAAGCATTGCAATGCTTGATTTGCTAACATAAACGGCTGATTTTTGTATGCTCTACTGGCTACATTTACACTTGTGAAATAGGTATCTTTATGTACACCGGTACCAATCCTAACATCGAACCAATCACATTTGAAAAGAAAAATTTTTCTACCCAGAAGATATCTTAACTCAATGATATCTGTTAGGGCACCATAGTAATCTTGGTCTTCTCCTTTCACTAACACGCCACTATTCTGTGTTCGTCGATTTTGCTCCCTTTCCTTAGTATGGAACCTAATCCCATTTACAATACACGCGGAATATCGACTTACTAGACATTGAGGTCCACACGCTAATGAATACAGATCATCACAAGTTGTTTCCTTTTGATGATGACGCATTTCCTTTATCTATTAAAAGAAGTGTAGTGTTAAATAAATGAATGACAGTTCATTTTAATTAAATTAAAGAATTTTATTTAATTAAGTACAATAGGTGCATAATGGACTTACTTTTGTTTCGAACCACCTCGAATATTCTTTAGCATGTCTTTGAGGAACATTGCGCGGATTTTCTCTCTCAAGTTCTACCTTGTGTTTTCTAAACAATTACATTATGTTAATGATACAATTGTATACATGTATTAAGAAATAGACTATATATTCATAGAAACTGACAAGATATGACATGCAATGAGTTACTTACTCTTCATATGACAAAACATCTTCACAATTCTGTAAAACGTACAATCGGGCCATCTCTATGTTCACACGGGGCAATATGTCCAAACTTTGTGCTCCTATCGGTCGAACCACTTGCTTTAGATCATAAAATGTGGACCAATTATTGTTGTAGTTCCCCTCACTATTTCTTTCTTCTCTATTGAACCTTGTCTCAATCCCTCTAAGAAATTTTGAACAAAATGTGAGGCACTCATCGTCCACGTAAGCTTCCGCAATGGACCTTTCCGGACGTGCTTTGTTACGGACGTACAATTTGAGAGTATGCAAAAATCTGCATAACCGTTAATCAAACCAATAATATTTAATAACAAACTAATAAAACTTGTTAAAAAAAAAATGTTGGTTTACTAAAAATATACAGCACCTTTCAATCGGGTACATCCATCGATATTGTGCAGGGCCTGCGATGATGGCTTCATGCGGCAAATGCAGAGCCAAGTGCACCATAATGTCAAAAAATGACGGAGGAAATATCATCTCTAACTTACTTAGTATAACAGCAATGTCCCTTTCCATTGCCTCTAAGACATCCACTTTGACAGTTCGACAACACAATTCCTTGAAGAATAAACCAAGCTCAGTTATTGTGTTACAAATATCTGAATTTAAGAATCCTCGTATAGCAATAGGGAGGAGACGTTGTAAGAGAACGTGTGAATCATGACTTTTCAATCCAGATATCTTACAATTATTAACATTCACACACCGACTTATGTTCGATGCATAGCCATCTGGAAACTTAACTGATTTTAGCCATTCACATAGTTGTCTTTTATTATTCTTTGACAATGTGTAGCGCGCTTGTGGCATCTCAAATTTTTCACCATTACGTCTCAGGTGGAGTTCTTTTCTAATCCCTATTGCTTCTAAATCCAACCGACTTTTGAATGTGTCCTTAGTTTTCCTTTCAATGTCCAATAATGTCCCCAACACACTATCGCATATATTTTTCTCTATATGCATAACATCCAGGTTGTGCCGCAACAAAATGGTCTTCCAGTAAGGTAGTTCAAAGAAAATACTCTTCTTCGTCCAGTTAAGTTCAAATTCCTCAGGAGTTCGCTTCTTTTTATTTGGCCCCTTTCCGAAACTAACCTCGGGTATGAGGTTAAGTTGTTCCAGAATATCATTACCCGTCAACTGCTTTGGTGGCCCTTTGTCTTCACTTTTGCCATTAAATTGCTTGTGATGGTTTCTGAAAATGTGATCTAACGATAAAAACATACGACTTCCCAAGTAGCATATCTTACGTCCGTGTTTCAAAAAACAAGAACATGTTTCTTTGTTACAATTCGGACATGCTAGATAACCCTTTGCCATCCATCCAGATACCATCGCATAGGCAGGAAAATCACTAATGGTCCAAATCATTGCCACATGCATTTTACAGTTACATTTATTGTACGCGTCATATGTCATCACACCATCCCGCCACAATTCTTTTAACTCTTCAACCAAAGGTTGCATGTACACATCAATATCATTACCAGGCGATGTTGGACCAGGAATAAGCAATGACATAAATATATATGGCTCCTTCATACATATCCAAGGTGGCAAATTGTAAGGCATAATCATCACAGGCCACATACTATACGCATTGCTCATATTTCCAAATAGATTGAATCCATCAGTTGCTAATCCAACACGAACATTACGAGGATCAGCAGCAAACCAACTATGCTTACTATCAAAATCCTCCCAAGCTTTTGAATCAGCTGGATGTCTTAACTCATTTGTCTCCTTCACACGTTTCTCCTTATGCCACCGCATATCTAAGGCTGTATCCTTTGACATAAACACCCGTTGAAGTCTTGATTTCAATGGGAAGTGCCGGAGAACCTTTTGAGGGATTTTCTTACCCTTACCTTCGTGAGGTTTATACCTCGATTCACCACATTGTGGACAATTTTCTTTACTTGCGTTTTCCCTCCAAAATAGAACACAATCATGTTTACATGCGTGTATACAATCATATCCGAGACCCAAGTCTCGTAACAAGCTTTTAGTCTCGTAATGAGACTTTGGTAACACATTATTATCGGGAAGCATATCCTTAAATGCATCAAGCATCATGTCAAATGATTTGCTGCTCATTCGGCTTGTAACCTTCACATGGAACAACTTTAATATCGCTGACAACTTAGAGTATTTTTCACAACCTGGCCACAATTCACATTGTGCATCATTTAACAATCTATCAAAGCTTCCTCCTCCAACATCAACTTCAGGCGAATCTTCTTGTTGTGGTGCATTAGTGAAGTTTCCCATTTGTATGTTATTCAACAATTCAAACACATTATCTACATTTCCATCTTCATCGTGGACATTTTCCCTACTGACATTAGCATCAATATTAACATTATTGTTGCTTTGACGAGCCTCCCCGTGATATATCCAATTGGTATACCCCTTGTCCATCCCATTTCTCAAGAGATGCTGCTTAACTTCTTCAATTTGATGATAAGTCCTATTTTTGCAACGACGACATGGACATCGGGACCTACTGTCTACTTCTGCATGACGCCTAGCCACATCAATGAAGTCATGTATGCCATCAAAATACTTTACACTTCCCCTAGTGTGATGATGAATCCAAGACTTATCCAAGTAACTGCTTAAATGTACACAAAAAAATAAATAAATAAATAAAAATAATAATAAAAAAAAGAAAAAAAAGAACATATATCCATCAAGAGTTAATAAAGGATATATATATATATATGTATGTATATAAGTGTGTGGAGCCCATCATGGAAGGAACAATGAATGAGTGTAAGAACCGTCTTATCATTTCTTTAAAAAAGAACCAAAAAAAAAAAAAAAAGAGTGAAATACAATTAAAGAAAATTGAAAGACATAGTAATTAAGAAATGGAGTTTCTTCATACTCTGTTGGTTCACTGCCATGGTCACATGGCATTAGTATTATAGACACTGGTAGGTATAATTTCCTAGATCTATCTTCTGACCCAGTGAAAAGAGGATGATAGAGGAAGATTCAGATGCACTTTAAATGTTTCAGGTGTATGCAGGTTGTATAGGCATAGATGTCTTTCTGGATATTCATGAAATTGGGGAACCCTTAACTCTAATTAGAGATGAGGGTGTTAAAGAAATGGAGGTGTAGATCTTGGAAGTTGTGTAGATGATAAGGGTTTCCAGAATGGGAGCGCACATAATAGAATTTCCCTGTAATTCTATTGGTTTTTTTGGTAATTGAAATTTGTTAAAGTATTTTTTCGCTGTATTTTTATTTTTATTTGGTTAACTGTTTCATTATTAATTTGAGTTCATGTAATGATGGTGTTGGATAACATTAGATGGATATAAAATGAGTGATGGAATGGAGATTTAAATCTTTATTCAATATGAATATATGATTGATTCTATTCTAGGTTGTATAACAGTGGAAAAGAGTAATCATGTCATTTTTTGTTTTGTTTTTACTTCTTCAGTTTCAATGACATCTTCTCTGGCAACCTCTCCTAATATTTCTGAGAAATTAATGGTCATTTGAAGGCTTGGGATGAAAAGAAGGTCGAGTAACTCCATCACAGAAATGTTTCCTTCCCTTCCTCGTCGGCATGCCAAACTTGTAAATTTTGATTCTACTTATTCCCCATTAAATATTTAGTCTTATTTATATTGTATCTTTTTTGGAGGCTTGAGAAGGGATTCATCAGCTCCAAATATTCAAATTTGGGGCAGTAGTTAGCAAATTGTTTATAGCCTTCTCACTATGGCTTTGGGTAAGTCTTAAGATAATTAATTTCTAATTTGTTTATGGTATACTGTAGACAAATACGGTTTTGGTTTACTATAGTCAGTCTAATATGTTTAATTCAAAACTTGTTAAACAAGGGGCGAAAAAGACTTCTACCACTGCACTACAAACTGACTTAAAATCTTCTACAACATTGCAAGATTACAATTCAAACAATGGAAAAAAAATTGTCCAGTAAATAGGAGAACACCTACAGCCAAAAACTAAGAGAAGCAATTTTAATGACTAGTGCTGTTATTTTAACCAAAATCTGGAGTAAATAGGAGAAGAGCAGAAGCAAAAAATAATAATAATAATAATAATAATATAAAGGGCAGCAACTTCTTATTCTTCTGCAAACGCTAGCCCGGTCCAATTTAGTTTTATCTCTCCCTGTTTAAGCTATGTTTTTCTTCCTATCTCCCTGCTCAATCTCTTGAACTAAGCACATCGTCAAAATCAGAAAATATGGTTGTTGAAACAGAGTTTGTTGAAAATTTGTAATGATAAATCCTATTTAAACTCCATTAATCCAACCATAAAATCAGAAAGAAAGAAAAAAAAATTAATAGCTCAGTTAAAATTTGGTGAAACATGACCAAGAAATCTGAAACTTAAAAGCTCTTGGGTTGATCAAAGCTAGCCCAAGTTTTTAAAAATTCAGTTTTCAAATTTGGTCCAAATGTGAATGACTAATTTAAGCCAAAGATAAAATTGGCTTTTGAATTCCAAAATAAAACCCTTTGTGACGGGTAATCTACATAATGTTATTAATCATTGCAACGAAAAAATAAATTATCTTTCTGCGAATTGAAATTAAACAATCAACCATATAACGAAATTTTCAAAATAAAAATCCAATTCTGCCAGCCACGAAAACAAACTTGACAATCAATATATCATTTGTTTTTCCTTTCTTTCAATTTCTCATTTTCAAACTGTGGGGGCATGAGCAATAAAACTTTTCAGCTCAATCACTTTCTCTGTTTTTACTTTCCCAATCTCAATGTAAGAACAAACAGAAAGCCTATTTCAACTATATCTCAAGAAATATATAAGGAACACATAACAAAATATATAAGGAACACATTACAGAATATATAAGGGTTTAGATTACCTCCTAATTCTGATAGCTGGCCTCCTCCAAGCCCGAGATTCTCTTCGAAATACCAAAGAATCACTTCTGCAAACCTAATCATCACAAGGAAAGAAGTCATCAAACAAAAGATAGAGCAAGGATAGAAGAAACATGCTGCAACTAATTAATATGGCATTTCTATGTTCATGAAAACTAAGGATGCTTGATTGTTTCTGGCCAACATAGTTCAAAAAAGATTTTCTTCCTACCTGAACTCACAGTTGTAAAAATGTGGGGAGAACTAGTATGACAAGCAATGACAATACAACATGCGAAAATTTTATTCTGCTTAAAGTCATACCACCTAGCATTACAGAGTCATTCTGAGTCCTTGAAGGACCGAATACTATCTTCATCTTCCATCCTTGCTTGCTTAATTTTAGAAGTTACACTAATAAATATGCAAAACAAACGAGCACAGACCTAACTTATAAAAATAACTATACTACATCAAGTCTGCTTCAACCTAATCTTATTAATGACTATGGTGCTCTGCCCAGCATCAACTGATAGAATTGGTGTGAGCAAATACCTCCTCAATTTAAATGTTGATGCATATATGTCTTTCTATATACAATTTTAAATTTTTATAGTTTGTGATGCATGTTACATAAATCACTTGAATATAAATATGTGCCGAATCAATGGACCCATATTTTTTTCTAATAAAATACTAGAGCACAGAAGAATGATATAGATGGGGTAATTCTAATTTTTTTTTATTAAATTTATTATTTAGTATAAGTGTGACCTCTTCATTTCACTTATTTCTTTGTCTTTTAACTTCATTTCAATTCTATCTTGACCTAATGTAGTTTTACGTTTAATGGCATGGTCAGGAAATTGATAGCCCATATCCTAAAATGTTGATAAATCTACAAATCTCCTAAGAAGAATTCATAACAGAAGTTTTATTTTTCAGTTTGTGTTGGATATTTCGGAGGGGGAAAGGGCACATATTGATAGTTCCCTTCAACGTCCTGCATTGGAACATCTCAGCAATTTTTTTTTGGTGAAGTAGGTATTGAATATATGAAACATAAAAAGATTAAACGGAATAAAATAAAATAAAATAAAATAAAAAGAAAAAAAAAAGAAAAAGAAAAAATAAGAAAAGAAATTGGCAGTTGCAAGTTCAGAAGCACTACATACCAGAAGTCGGCTGATTCCTTTCCCCGCCAATATCTCTGGTGAAGTCAGCACAAACTTTTCAGCAATAAGTACACAACATGAACATTCCTGCATTTGCAGATCAGCATGTTCATCCAACTAAACTAGAAATAGAAAATGTACTGGTCGGTATAAAAATTTAAACTAGGTATATGCATATACATACGTGTAAGAATTAAACTTTCTCCAATTAAATTAGTTAAAATATATTTTACCTTTTTAAAAAAATAATAAATAGAAAAACAATAAAAGACAGATAATGCACATCTTTTAAATAATATTTCAAACATTTTCATAGAGGAGATATATATATAATACCCGCCAATATTCTAATATCACACTACTTTAAAATTTTCAAACAGCAATTCTAAAAATCAAAGTTCTATAACTTATTGGGAATAATATAATAGACATAGAGTAACAGTTGAAGCAAAGGGGCAACAGGTAAATCAAGGCTGGCATGCACAATTCTGCTTGATAATCAACAATTGAAGCAGAAAAAAATAGAAGAATAAAAAAACAAATTAAAAAAAAAAAAGAAGGAAGAGAGAGAGAGCATGGAAAACCTGTTGAAATCCCTAATTTCCTTGTTCCTAGCTTTATAAAACCAACTTGGTGGGGTTCTTTTTTCTAGAATGACCATTATGCATTATGCATTTTATATATTCCCTTGGAATATTAAGAACTTTAGAAAATCAACAATCTTCCTAGAACTTTAATAATGAAATTTTTTTTGCTACATTGATTACGCAAACTGTGCAACACAAAAACCGATGTATAAAAGATACCATATAAGATCAAAGAGATAAAACAGAGGAGATTATACATAGATACATATATATATATATATATCGATATGTACGTATACACAACCGTATTATATCCAAATACCTATTATCATAATTTAAGTTAAATAGAACCCAGAATTCAAATTTTGTCAAAGTGATTTCATAGTGTAATAAGCACATAACGAGTTTTTTAACAAGCACATAACAAATTGAACTTGTTATATCTCAAACCTGTATTTCCCACAACGATTCACACTCAGACTACAAGCTGACTCCAGATTGTAATTTACCCTTTCGATTGTTAGGCCTTTTGCAATTTTCTAACCCTACAACATGTATTTGCAGAAAAAATAAAAATAAAAACTAGGGTGAGGATCATGAAATCGATGTGGGTTACATGAATGACAAATCGAAGATGGGGTTCTCTGAAAATCGAAGAAAAAGGCATAATCCCTAAAATTTTGAAAGAAAAAAAAATGTTATACCTCAAGATTAAAAGTCTCTGGATATCACCTAAACGCGTCCCTTACATCTTGAATCTTCTAACAGTTGCGCCTGTAAGTGTCAGTGTCGCGGGATTTCTTTCCAAATGTCCAAGAGTTTAGATCGATGTGGCTGTCGGAACGATTGGGTGAGAGTGGAAGAGAGCGTGAGGGCTTGAGAGTGAAAAGAGTGGAAGACGCGTGAGGGTGAGGGTGGAAGAGGCGTGAGAACTGAAGACTTTAGGTAAATAGATGTTAAACGACCTAGTTTGATGGAAATAAATTAATTTTATATATTATATTTTAATTCTTACAAAAGCGGCAAACAATAAATGAAGGCTAAATTTTGCCGCTTTATTTTTTTGTGGAATTGGGGACGGGCTGTTTATGGTTTTAGGGACAGTTTTGTAGTCCGTGCCAAAAAATAATGTTTTAAGCACAGTTTTAAAGTCTTTAGGGACAGTTTTAAAGACTGTGCCAAAAAACCATGTTTTAGGGACAGTTTTTAAAGACTATCCTTAAAAAAGCATGTTTTAGGGACAGTTTTTAAGACTGTCCCTAAAGGACTGTTATTAAAACTCATATTTCTTGTAGTGTTTTTGAACTTCTTGGTTGATGTTGGCAACTTTTCTTCTGTACATATTTTGCAAATGAATGTTGATGCTTCTTCTTGATCGTTTGATTCATGATTCTGTTCACAATTCATTCATTCCATCACAATTTATATTGATTCAAACAATTATGATCAAACTTGAAAGTAATTAAGAAAGAAACAAAAATAAATAAATAAATAAAATTTACAAGTACTCCATCTAAATTTAATTTACGTACCTTCCTTGAGAAAATTTGTGTTAGAACTTTCATCTTGGATCTATTTTTTGGCTTTGATGATGATTTTTGCTGTTGTATTGGCAGTAGTACTGGTTCTATACTTACCTTCTATACTTGCGCGTATTTTATTCCTGATCTAATTAGATTTTTTTTTTTCCGCCCCCACCCACCCCCCCCCCGCGCGCGCGCGCGCGCGCGCGGATCTGATTAGAAGTTAGAACCAACATGTTAAAAATAATTAATGCCATGTTCATTCATGTATATGTTCATTCATGCATCTGTTATTGTACATGTATCAAGAGTGTACATGTATCAAGTATGTGCATGTATCATGTGCGTGGTTGAGATTGTCTTCAAAAGTTCAAAGGTCTATGGGAGAATAGTATATATAGGGTAAGGTATTTGTTGTTTAGATATCAACACAACAAAGAATTCAATTCAATACAATATTTGTTTCTCTCCTCTCTTCACTTAGAAATTATTTAGTTGGTTGAAACTCTAGCCAACATAAGTGGTATCAGAGCTTGATTTCGATCAAAAGCAAATTGGGCGTGAAGCTTATTGACGGGAAAACAAACTCTGAAGAAGATCCATCGTGATGGCGACTACAGGCAATCAAAACCAAGGTGCCCATCAATCAGCACTTCCTATTTTTGATGGGGAAAATTATGATTTTTGGTATGTGAAAATGAAGACCATTTTCTCTCATATGATTTATGGGATTATGTTGAAGATGAGTATAATGAACCGGAGGATACAACAACTTTGACAAATGCTCAAAGACAACAATTGAAATATCATAAGAAGAAAGATGCAAAAGCTTTAGGCTTGATTCAACAAGGAGTTGCTGATACAATCTTTCCCAGAATTATCAATGCTTCTAAAACAAAGGAGGCATGGGATATTCTCGAGAAGGAGTATAGAGGCAGCATGAAGGTAAGAACTATAAAACTCCAATCTTTGAGAAGAGATTTTGAAAATATGAAAATAAAAGAAATGGAGTTGTTGAAAGATTATTTTTCTAAACTTATGGAGGTGGTAAATCAAATGAAGACCTATGGGGAAGATATTTCTAATCAAATAATTGTTGAAAAAACTCTGATTAGTTTGCCGGAAAAATATGACTCTATTGTTGCTGTTATTGAAGAGACTAAAGAGCTTGAAAACTTGAGTGTTGAAGAATTGATGGGTTCCATAAAAGTATTTGAGCAAATGTTGAGTAGGCGCTCCGAAAAGACAATTGAAAGTGTTTTTCAATCCAAGCTCAATGTTAGTTCCAAAAATCAAGAAAAATACCCATCAAATTTTGATCGATCCAAAGGTGAATCTTCTAAAGGTGGAAGACATGGAAGAGGAAGATGAAGAAATTCAAGAGGAAAAGGAAGAAATAATTTTGAGAGAAGTGGAAATATAAAGTCCACTCAACAAAATTGTGAAATTTGCAAGAGAAGTAGCTATGTTGACAAAGATTGTTGGTTTCGGGGAAAACCTCAATGTTTCAATTGCAAGAAATTTGGACATGTTCAAAAAGATTGCCGGTTGAAAACAAATCAGCAAACTAATTTTTCCAAAGAGCAAGAAAGTGAAACGAGCATGTTTTATGCTCGTCACTCGACATCGGAACAAAATGATGATGTGTGGTTTCTTGATAGTGGGTGTAGTAACCACATGACCAGAGATAAAAACATATTCTTGGAGATTGATTTTTCATCCAATTCTCAAGAGAGGATGGGAAACGGTGCCTTGGTCCAAGCAAAGGGAAAATGTACTATTGCCATAGAGACAAAAAAAAGGAAGAAAGCATATTCAGGATGTGTTACTTGTTCCGGATTTGGAGCAAAATTTGTTAAGTGTTGGATAGCTTGTAGAGCATGGGTACTCCATTCATTTTGATGAGGACTCTTGCAAAATTTATGACAAGGGAGAACAAAATCATATTGTGGCAAAAATCAAGATGGGCAAAAATAGAAGCTTTCCTCTCACTTTTTCATGTTCAAAAAATATGGCCTTGAAGAGAGATGTTGTTGATGAGTCTTGGCTTTGGCATAAAAGACTTGGCCAATTGAATTTCCAAAGCTTAAAGAATTTACAACAAAATAGCATGGTGTATGGGCTACCAACAATACAAGAAGTTAAAAAAGTTTGTGAAAGTTGTGCTCTTGGCAAGCATCACCGAGAGTCGTTTCCGAAAGAGAAGGCATGGAGGGCTAAAGCACCATTGGAGCTTGTTCATACCGATGTGTGTGGACCAATGACAACACCAACTCATGCGGGTAATAAGTATTTTATTATTTTCGTTGATGATTTTTCAAGAATGACATGGATTTATTTCATGAGACAAAAATCACATGTGTTCTCTATTTTCAAAAAATTTCAAAAACTTGTCAAAAGGCAAAGTGGCCATCTTATCAAAGTGTTAAGAAGTGATAGAGGTAGAGAATACAACTCAAATGAGTTTGAAAAGTTTTGTGAAGATATTGGCTTGGAGAGACAATTAACGGTTGGGTACACTCCACAACAAAATGAAGTGGTAGAAAGAAAAAATAGAACAATTATTGAGATGGGAAAATCAATGCTTCATGAGAAGAGGCTACTTAAATCATTTAGGGGTGAAGCCATGTAAACGGCTGCTTACTTGATGAATAGGAGTCCAACAAAAGCGGTGGAGAATAAAACTCCATTTGAAGCATGGAGTGGAAGGAAACCATTATTGAAACACTTGAAAGTTTTTGGGTGTATTTGTTTGGCTTATGTTCCAAGAGAAGTGAGGCACAAACTTGATGAAACTAGTGAAAAATGCATCTTTGTGGGTTATAGCTCAAAATCAAAGGGTTATAGACTCTTTAATTTGAAGAAGAATAAATTGATTATTTGTAGAGATGTTCTCTTTAATGAGAAGGCTGCTTGGGATTGGAAAGAGAAGAAAGTTCAAGATTAAATCCCAATTTTCAATGAAGAATCAGGAAATCAAGAAAGTGAAAATGAAGATTTTCTTAAAGTTCCACAAGAAATGTCTCCCGTATCTAGCTTACAATCAATCCTAACTTCTCCATCAAACTCAAATTCCTCATCTCCAAGTTCAACTCCAAGAAGAATAAAAAGTCTTAGTGATGTGTATGCAAGTTGCAATTTTTGTGTTGTTGAACCGAAGAACTTTGAAGAAGCAATTAAACAAGAGGAATGGAAGAAAGCTATGGAAGATGAAATTTATGTGATTGAGAAGAACAAGACTTGGGAGCTAGTAGAGAAGCCGGAAGACAAAGATGTGATTGGTGTGAAATGGATTTTTAAAACAAAATTCAATCTGGATGGCTCCATTCAAAAGAACAAAGCAAGACTTGTAGCAAAAGGGTATTCACAACAGCCCGGAATTGATTTTCAAGAAAAAATTTCACCCGTGGCTCGTCTTGACACAATTAGAGCACTCATTACCTTGGTGGCTCAAAATGGTTGGTCCTTGTATCAACTTGATATAAAATCAGCCTTCTTGAATGGTGTTTTGAAAGAGGATGTCTATGTAGAACAACCTCAAGGCTTTGTTGCAAAAGGAGAAGAAGAGAAAGTTTACAAATTAAAGAAGGCGTTGTATGGCCTAAAACAAGCACCTCGGGCATGGTATAGTGAGATTGATTCTTACTTCATCAAAAAAGGCTTTCAAAGGAACAAAAGTGACCCAACCTTGTACTACAAGACACAAGGTAAAACTGAGATTCTTATTGTTTCTGTTTATGTTGATGATTTGGTATTTACCGGTAGTGATGGAAAAATGATTGATGATTTTAAAAGAGAGATGATGAAAAAATATGAAATGAGTGATTTGGGTTTGTTGCATTACTTCTTGGGCATTGAAATTTATCAAAAAGAAGAAGGAGTTTTTATTTGTCAAAAGAAGCATGCTAAAACTCTTATTGAAAAATTCAAAATGTTGAATTGCAAATCCGTTTACACTCCCTTGGTTGTGAATGAAAAATTGATGAAAGAAGATGGAAGTAAAGAAGTGGATGCATCTTTCTATAGAAGCTTGGTTGGAAGTCTAATATATTTGACATCTTCAAGACCCAACATCATGTATGCTACAAGCTTATTATCTCGGTTTATGCACAATCCAAGTCAAATTCATGTTGGGGCTGCAAAGAAGGTATTGAGATATATACAAGGTATACTTGATTTTGGCATCTTGTATGAGAAAAATGTTGATGCAAAGTTGTTTGGTTTTTGTGATAGTGATTGGGCCGGATATGTTGATGATATGAGAAGTACTTCCGGTTATGCATTCTCTCTTGGTTCGGGTGTATTTTCATGGGCATCTAAAAAGCAAGAAACGGTTGCGCAATCTTCTGCCGAGGCTGAGCATATTTCAGCATCAATGGCAGCGTCACAAGCAATATGGCTAAGGAGAATTTTTGAAGATATTGGTGAGAAGTAAAGAGAAGTTACTCCAATTTTATGTGACAACAAATCCGCAATTACTATGACAAAGAATCCTATTTTTCATAGTCGCACAAGATACATTGCAATCAAGCATCACTTCATTAGAGAAGCCGTAGAGAATGAAGAGATTCAACTCAAGTATTGTAAGACAGAAGACTAAGTTGCAGATATTTTTACCAAAGCATTTCCAAAAAATAAGTTTGAATACTTTAGAGAATTGTTGGGTGTCACAACATGGCATTAAGGGGGGTGTGTTAAAAATAATTAATGCCATATTCATTCATGTATATGTTCATTCATGCATCTGTTATTGTACATGTATCAAGTGTGTACATGTATCAAGAGTGTACATGTATCAAGTGTGTGCATGTATCATGTATGTGGTTGAGATTGTCTTGAAAAGTTCAAAGGTCTATGAGAGAATAGTATATATAGGGTAAGGTATTTGTTGTTTAGATATCAACACAACAAAGAATTCAATTCAATACAATATTTGTTTCTCTCCTCTCTTCACTTAGAAATTATTTAGTTGGTTGAAACTATAGCCAACACAATAGGGCTCGGTATAAAAGGGAAACCTTGATATATTATTTTAGCTATTT